GATTAATATGAAAATGTTCAATGTCAATTCTTCATATCAAAAGTATGTCATCTAATAATAACAGTAGCATAAAAAGCGATTACATGAGTTCGATAGACGATCGAATACCGGGCTTACAATTAGCTAGGACCGGCAAGCAGCGCACTGCATGTCAGTGTAACCGCCCCGACAAATAGATCCACGTATCTGCAGATTGTAATTAAGTTTTGTGTAATTACATTCCGAATCGGCGCGCGAACACCAGTCGGTCGATGCAATTTCCAGTAGTCGTGTACCTGCGTGCAATCCCGTTCACAAATCGCTTGGCAGTTAACAAAGAATATAATAAAGTGCTTTAGCAAAATAAAATTGAAACATTTTTATAATCAACTATTTATCTATTCATTACATTGAAGCGAATTTTGTAAAAATTCTACAGAGATTCTCAGAAACTCGTCTTTACATATTCATAAGATACATATTATGTTTTCATAATTTTGTAATCAAATGAATTCATAATGAATCATATCAAGTAGCAAGTTCTTGTTAATTTGTAATTTATATTTATGATAATTGATCTGGAATTCTAATCGAATTATTACTTATGGACGGAAGTGTATACGTCATTTGACGAATAGCGTAGTTAATGAGGTCAGGTAACAATTTTTTCTGGAATTGCCAACGATCGAATCGCTCGCGACGAATTGATAATAGCACCCCTAAGTCTAGGGGATCAATAAAGCGGCCTCGCTATTATATGAATGCAAAAAGTATGTAATTATTGAATAAGCTCTAGTAAACTGTTCAGTTACTATAAAGGAAGTATCCTCTCATATGCGTTGTAATTAATAGACAGAAATCGACGGGCTCCAATAAGAGAGGCAATCATGCTCGTTAATGCGTGTTTCTCACGCACGATACTAGCTTCACGGTATCTCTGGACTGTGATAACATAGATAGAGAGAGGCATAACAGCATTGTCCATGTTAAGCTCTACCAGCTTAGAGAGAAAGCTTTCTAAGCTAGTAGAGCTTAGCTTGGTCAACGCTATTATGCATGCGAGCAAAATTTGAAAAGCAAAAAACCGGTCAATTAATATTCAGTGTACCTCACAGTTCTACCGTTTTTTACTCGGCTTTTACTGGATGAATTGAAGTAAACAGCCCTTTGATCGTTGCTAAGCTTGTCAAAGTACACGTCGTATATTCAGTGATATTCCGTGCATTGATTTATTAATTACATGCTCGATCCAAATCAGAATTATTAATTTTATTCAATAATATTAGCAAGAAATTCAGGTATAAATGGAATTTGTAATCTTACTTTATGATTTGTATCGATCTCGTAAATAATTTATTAAATATTGCACAGACAATTTTCGGGTATTCAATTTAAATGTCTTTTTAGAAATGAATTTTTCTTCAACTTTCCTCAATAAAGTGTTCAGAAGCAAGATATAACAGGAATATAAAGAAGAAAATCAGTTTTCACGGATTTCTAAGAGCAAACAGCTAAACTTGCCACTAAATTCCTGCAACGTATACAGCACCTCTTTAGACTGTTTAAATTTTCGCGTGCATCTGCGAACTAGACTTTATTTTGTTGTAAATCAGTTTTGAATGCAATAATAAAATGCACACATGACAAGTATGTACAATAAAATGTAAGTTTAATCTTTTAAAACATAACATATTGCGAAGTAAAATATCCTCGTTCTAAAATACAAAGTCATTTAAGATCTTGTCAATGAAGACAGGCTCTTACTCTATAATTAAAAGTCAGCATCGTCACTCGTGCATTTTGCCTTATCACCGGTTCGTTCTCTAGATGAAAATGCAATCAACACTTCAGCGATTATGTAAAAAATGAGAAAATCGCATAGGTAATCATAGTGATGATCGATGGAGGGAACAGGTTACTGAATGACGCCAGTCGAGTGACTCGGAGCGAGGAGGGGCAGACGACCGCACGATTCCAGCCACGCAGACATATTTATCGATGTCAACGGGCTTCGGTTTCGTCGTGTCACGGTCGGGAGGAAGGAAAAAACGTTTCACGGGCAAAAAGCGGCTGTGGCCCGTTCGTGAATATTCATACGCAGTCGCGAATACCGACGAGCACGACAATTTATAGATGCCACGCTGAAGTGTACTTGCTTCCATCCATAGCTTTCGACAGGAGAAAAAATCAATAATTCAGACTTGGCGCACGTTGGAAAAATGCTGATTCTCAATAATTCATGCAATTAATTCTACTTTGGCATGGTTTCTTAATTAATACAGAAACGCTGAATCATTGATTTAATTAATTCAGCAACATGATGAATGTTCTACGACATAAACTGCACACGGATTTAAGAATGACATAATTCAATTAAAAAATCGATTTTATGCATTCAAAAATAAAATTACTTCGAACAATGATGTTTCACTCTGGGAGATTTACATTAGTTGATTAATCAGTCGAACTCGAAATCGTAAAAATCCGTCAGCAATCCGACTTCCCAATCGTCTAAGTTTGATGTGATGCAAGGAAATACGAAAGACGAGTACCGAATGGCCGTCAGGAAGGTCGAAGGTCTTTTATAGAAACCACATTCGTAACGGGAGCACCTTTCAGTCGTTCTCTAGTCGCTGAATCTCCGTTCTTCGGAATATCCACTTTCTACGGAATGAAAATTTGTTCGCGAATGCAGCTGTTCGGCTCAGAGGCTCGCATGCTTTACAACAGTCCCTCTTCTAAATTCTCATGCGTAGGCATCTATATAGAAATAGAAAAGCTGGAAGGACCAACGTTCTCGGGGGCTCGATTGATCCAAGCCGTCGAGGTCGAAAAGCGAATAAATTCATGTTCGAGGTTTCCATTTAAAGATAAATATGATTGTATTTAGACTAGTAGATTTGAACGTTTTGTCGATAAACGGTTTTCGATTCAATAACACGATGTACGAAATCGTGAATTGGAACCAAGATATTTCTGGAAAAACAAAATTGGAAACTAGTCGAGTTGACGATGAGTCAGGATCGACACGAACGATCAGCGCAGTATACGTATAATCGTACCGTTGCACTGTTGGACGAAACGTTAGCGAGTATACGATGATAATAAACGTGAGCAACCGCGCCGGGATGGCCGTTTCGCGGTTTGGTTCAGGGAATAGTTTTCCGGGGTTGGCGGATACATGCCGATGACAGGTGTCCCTCGCAAAACGCGCCTGGCGAATCGCGTGACAACCGACGTATCTGCTCGACAAATATCCTCCATCGACATCCACGATATTCGTAACGCAGACAAATAATGCAGCTATTGTTTCTAGACTGATTTTTTGCCCAAACCAGCAGTTCATCCACGATTTCTTTTTTAAAACCTTCAAAGCTTCGCATTTTTCAGCCACTTTGTTAACCATCTTGTTTTATAAATCGTATTACGTATTGACATTCGCTTTTATCCAATTGTCAAGACAATACATAGGATTGTAGCATAAATCATAAGTACATACAAGCGTGCGATAAATGGAACGTTAGTTATATCCTATATGTTCGTTGTCTCGTTGCATTAATTGACACAAACATTGGAAAAGCCATTAGAATCGAGTACTTGATAAACAAATTTGAAATTCTAAAGATTACTCTCATAAGTCATCGTAAATTCCTCTCGAAAAGTGTGAAGAAGGAAGAAGAGGGACACGACGATATTTAAAATTTTTAGAAGTTGCACGTGCAAAAGTTGATTAAAAGAAGAACAGAGAATCCGCGAAGTTTGTAAAAGAAATATAGAGTTTCAAGAGGGCTTAAAGAAAGGTCTGCTGATGTGGAAGGGAGTAGCAAGAAGAATCTGAAGTTTTACGATAGTTCAGCCAGGCATCCAGAAATATTACACAAATTGTTCAAGAAGAGGACAAAACATTTCCGAACTGACATAAAAACTCAAGTTTTAAGATTCTTTACGTGTACCAAATGCACATAAAGAAACATGCGTTGTTTTGTTCATTTTGAAGACATACGTTTAGTGTATTTCGACAAACCGTGAAAGGTAAGCCTGTTGACTACGGAATAGATGTCTCATTGAGGTGTTACAGTAAAAAAGTAATCCGGGAGAAGACACGGATGGTTTCTCGTCAGCTGTAGGCAGCATTTTGCAAACGGTAGCTGAGACGCGCGTAGAGATAGATTGGTGTGACATGACGCGATGCGACGTCCGGTATAAAATTGCCTTCTTGAATCGAGAATCTTGAAGTGGCACTGATGCGAAAATTGGTCGCCGTCGTCCATGGCTTTATTTGATGGATCGAAGCGACAGGGCACCGTCTAAACTTCTAAGCCGAGCGGAAACAACTATATTCCGCTCGTGTATCAAGTACAGCATGTGACGTCTTGTTTATCGTATTTCGCAAATTGAAGGATTTTCTCCCAAAAAAGTAAAATCTTTAGCATTCTCCTCATTCAAATTTCATTGTGCTTATCAAATAGATAAAAAATAGAATAATTAAATGACAGATTGGATGGATTTACATAATAGTAAAATTACATTGTATAAAACAATTGGAGCAGTGTTTCTTAATTGCATTTATCGTGGACACGTGTACGTAGTGTTCAAATTGTAATCAGAATCGATACCTGTGTAGAGAATGTAAAGATGCAATTGTGTATGACACGCGTAATTTAGGTAGACTGATCGATTGATGGATTCTAGTTAGGAGCATAATATTGATAATTAGAGTATAATCAAAGATTTGTATTTAACGTTGCGTCAAACTACTTAATTGCTTGTAAACTACATATGGGCGATGAAACGCAGCACAGAGTAATAAGCGTAATCGGTAATCCGATTGCTTCACAAGCTTCTGTGTTTCATCCTCGCGTAAATGTAGCCATGGGGCCAAAGATATTCGAGCAACCTGTATAATCTAATTGTACAATACAGGTCCGTTCGCTATATTGCAATATCAAATGTTATTGTGTGGGCGTTGAAATCAATTGATCTTTCCTTTAAAGAAGAAATCAAAAGAGTACATTAAAAGTAATTAATATAAGATTAACTGAAAAGTTTTTAATTTATTGTGCGAAACATTTCTTATTGGAGAAATGAAAAATCTTGGTCATATTTCATCATTCATTTATAATTAAAAAATTGCTGTAAGCCAGATTTCCTTATCTAATAAGATAACAAAATTGTATATGGATTTAATATCTGAACCTATTTCATTTAATTAATTCCAGCACTCGTAGCATAGATTGACATAAAGATAAAAACTCTAACGCTAGCCAGGACGGTAGAATAATAAATAATAAAATAATGTATATTATTTTGGAAACGGATGTTTAATGCTGGCACGTACTTTAATAAAGTTTTCGATAAATCGCTATTAATTACAAAATGAATTTTTAATGCATTTTATAAATGCCAGTGAGAGTGCGGGTTATTTGAGTGTAATTGTGTGTACATATAAACGCGTATCGTAAATGGTCCACGATAAATTCTGCCGCTTTTGATCAGGACAATTATTTCCACAATCGTTTTGTTTCAAAATGAAAACGTATTGCGATTCCATTACTTAAAATGCTCTGAAAACGAAATCAACTTCTCCCATTGTCATTTTGATATTTATATTGATAACACACGAAAGAATACGAGGAAATATTTTCATATAAAATTGAATTCTATCATATTTCAAATCGCTGATCCAAATAATTTCTCGTATTATCATTATAAAATTATTGTTATAATAAACAAAGCTCGAGGTTCGAAAATGTTCCGGAGGAAACTATTGCCGATAAGAATACAAACTCTGGTTGATAAAAATCTTCGATTATGTTTTGTTTTGCGAAATGAATGGCGACTACGATCGACTTTACGAGATGCCAAGTCGATATCGTGACGTGCGTCGGAATCTGAACACGCGGTGCCTGATTAGGATTTCAGTCTCGTAGCTTGTAAACTTGTTTCTCTTCCGTCGTACGCGGCGCAAAATTGCTCTAACGAAACAGAATTCGCCCCTTTCAACGGCGAACGATGACCACCACCGCGCCCCGCAATGACAGATGGAACTTTTTCGTACTGGTTCAAAAATTGAATCCGTATTTCGGCGCCTTCGTTGGTGAGTTAACCTGTCATTCAATTTGATCATCATTCAAATTCCTAATACGGCAATATTTTTCTATCACAAATCTTGAATTCACGATAGTTATTCGTCATTAATAGAACTTGGATTCTTACACATTCGTTGAAAAAGAGTGGAATATAAAAGAAATGATTGAATTTTAGAAATGATGGAATTTTAAACAGAATAATGAATGTAAGAAGTGAACGCAATGTACAATCACGTAACGAGACATAATGCGTAAATA